GTGCGGGGGGTGGTGCGGGGGGGAGGGTTGGGTGGGGTGGGGGGGGTGTTGCTGCTGAGGAAGAAGGAGAGGTAGATGCTGCTGGGTTAGGGGGTTTTGCTGCTGCTGCTGCTGTTGTTCCTGCTGCTGCTGCTGCTGCTGCTGCTGCTGCTGCAGCAGATGATGAGGAGGAGGAGTCTGATCCACCACGTAAACCACCCCTTGATCCCCCACCTCCTGCTGCTGTTGCTGCTGCTGCTGTTCCTGCTGCTGCTGCTGCTGCGTCCTTTGCTGCAGCTGCATCGCCCTTCGCAGCAGCAGCAGCACCTGAGCTTCGGCCTGACCTTCTTCTTGCTGCACCCGTGTTATACTGCTGCTGCTGCTGCTGCTGCTGCAGTTGCTGCTGCAGCTGCTGCTGTATCTGCTGCTGAAGCTGCTGCAGCATTATTAACTGCTGCACCTGCTGCTTCTGATTCTCCTGCTGCGACCCCGCTGCTGCTGCTGCTGCAGCAGCAGCAGCAGCAGCAGCAGCAAGGCCTTTATTCACTCCCCCCCTACTCTGCTTCTTGCCTTTATCAGTACCCTCAATCATATCTAGGGCCCCCCCGGGGGCCCCCTTCAGAAGGGCCCCTATAGAATAGGAGCCTACATCGCGGGGGGTTTTGCTGCTGCTGCTGCTGCTGCTGCTGCTGCCGAGGGTGTTGCTGCTGCCTGGCCCTTTACCTGCAGCTAGCTGCGGCAGCAGCACACAGAGCAGCAGCAGCAGCAGCAGCAACAAACCCCAGCACCCATTATAATTCCTCATGCCGCTTAGGGGGGCCTCGCTGCAGCAAAGTCTCCTGATCGCAGCAGCAGCAGCAGCAGCAGCAGCGGCAGCAGCAGCAGCGGCAGCAGCGGCGGCTTAGATGCAGCGCAACTCTCATTAAGAGATGACAAAGAAAGCCGATCCCAGGCGATCCCAGGAGACCCCACACGATCCCAGCTGCTGCTGCTGCTGCTGCTGCTGCTGCTGCTGTTGCTGCTGCTGCTGCTGCTGCTGATGGTGATAGAGATGAAGGATATCTGAAAAAATTAAAAAGGAGAGGCGGCGAGGGAACAGGCTAACACCGCCGAGAGAGAAAAAAGCAAAGAGACAAGCTGCTGCTGCAGCAGCTGCTGCTGCTGCTGCTGCTGTTGCTGCTGCTTCTTCTTATCTTGCTGCTGCTACAAGCAAAGGCTGCACAATGCTGCGAGATCTATGAAGGGGAACCCAAAAGCAGCAGCAGGCAGAAGTACTGTGCTGCTGACCCGCGTCGCAGCTGCAGCAGCAGCAGCAGCAGGAGCAGCAGCAGCAGCAGCAGCAGCAGCAGGAGTCTGTAGTTTTGTTGTGGCGGGGGGTTAAACTATACTCTGCTGCTGCAGCAACTAAAACAAAAAAGAAGAAAAAGGGGCTGGGGAGAGAAGGCAGAGCGAGATGCTGCTGCTGTGTTGGCGGTGGTTGTTTGTGGCAGTGTAAGAGAGAAAAAGAAAAAAAAAAAGAAAAAAAAATAAGTTTATATTATTTAATTATATTTTTATTATATAAAATACAATATAAACAACAACTCTCAATCATATAAACCCCAAACCTCTCACAAGTGGATTCCGATTCCGCTGGCCCCAGCAGCAGCAGCAGCAGCAGCAGCAGCAGCAGCAGCAGCAGCAGCAGCCTGCAGGGGAGCGATGCCCGTTCTTCTGTGTTTTTTTGTTTTTTATTTATTTCAATGCAAAAAATATTTAAATAAAAATTATTTTATGATTAAATTGAGGTGTATGAGTAGCAGCAACAGCAGCAACAGCAGCAGCAGCAACAGCAGCAGCAGCAGCAGCAGCAGCTCACCCAGGTGTACGTACACCTCAGCAGTCTCGTTGTCCTACATAGATCTGATTCAGCGGCTTATTGAAGCAATAAATATATTTTTATTTAATTAAAAACTTTATTTTATAAATCCCAACGCATTCATGCTGCTGCTGCTGCTGATGTATCTCCCTTCTTGCTGCTGCTGCTGCTGCTGCTGCTGCTGCAGCAGGAGCAGCAGCAACTACAACAACAGCAGAAACGCCATTGAGGTTTATACTTAAACTATTACATGCATGCTGG